CAATAAGCAAAGCAGGATGTGCGGGTATTGTAGCGGAAAATGGAATCAGCGACCCGAGTTCAAATTTCAGCCTCACCTACTCTGTTCACTTTCACGCAAATGCTTTTGTTTCCTTAAGAAGATGAATTAGTGATTGAGTACTTTGTCGTAAAGTATGTCTCGCTGATTACTATAGTGAGTTAGATTCTCACTAAGTACTCTATACTTGTGCCAGATTAACCAAAAGTTTAGCAAATAACAAGTATTTTACGGTAAAATCAATTGCCGCACTTTAAAAATCACCAAATCCCTATTACTTAGCTAATATATATATATATATATAACTTCAAACTTTATTGCAGTAGACATTTCTTATTTGAAATAGACGTTCTATTATTATTTACTAAACAGTGTATCTATCGGAATTTTAATTCACTTCTGTTTCATCATTAACGTCTTTGCAAATCATCCCTTCAAAATATTTTTAAAAAAAAAAGTTTATTTTTCTTAATTGCTATTTCACTAAATATTTTATTTTATGTATTTATTTTAGTTTGGGTCATACTTCAATTAATTTTTTGTTTAATGTAGTAAACTTAAGAACCTAGAGACAAAATACAAATTTCATAAAGCTTCTTGAAACCTAATTAAAAGTCAATAAAATATTAAATAATTGCTGTAAATGTATTAGTTTGTAAAAATTAGTATCTGTCTATATTTATGAAATGATGTATTATGTACATTATTTACATTATTCGGACTATTGTCCTCATCTTTGTCGCCATATTTATTACAACGTTTCGGCCGTTGTACGCTCCGGCCTTCTTCAGGTGGTTGGAATGTCGAACTGAACCCTTTATTTCGCTCACTGGGGTAGGATACATGGCAGAGTGGATAAAGGCGTTGGTTAGATCCAGTGACAGGACCCAAAGAGTGTGAGTTCAATACCCGGCTAAGACAGTGGAGAACTTGGAGAGGGGAATTAACAGGAGATAACTGATGACATACATTAAACATGGCACTTGGAACTAAAACAGTCTACCCCAGTGAGCGAAATAAAAGGTTCAGTTCGACATTTCAACCACTTGAAGAAGGCCGGAGCGTACAACGGCCGAAACGTTGTAATAAATATGGCGACAAAGATGAAGAAAATAGTCTGAATAATGTAATTAATGTATTGTAAAAATTACTAGGTAGTTAAAAACTAAAAAAAATGCGTTCACTTAAATTTCGTAAATTTACATAATTTCTGGTCATCCATAAGAGCTGTCATAACCTAGAGAGCTTCTCGATAAGTCAACAAAGATCAAAGAAAGAGGGGACCTATCGTTAAGAAATGCTTGTATATTGGTTTTTATGCTATAAGTAATATTTATTTCAAGTCAGTTTAATTTAACTTTAAATTTTCTAATTTTACTCAAATAACGTGTCACAAATTTATAATTTAATTTTGAAAGATTTTTAAAACCGATAAATTTGTTTGTTTACAAATTTCTTAAAATTAAGAAAATGGTCGCTTTTAAGAAAATTTAAAAAAAAAATGGAGCAATTATTTGACATTCCAATCTATATAATTTCTATCTGAAATAACCAGAATATTTTACTTACTGGAAATAATGAATTTAATCATTTACCTGTCAATTAAAACTAAAATGAAATCTTCAAGAATGTTTTTCTTTTTTAAAATTTAATTTTAAACCTTAGGTTATCGAAAATTCAGTGGAAGTGCCTAATTTAAAAGAGTCTTAAAATAATATTTTTATATCTGCATTTAAATAGCTGGTGGGAAAAACTAACGTGGTCAAGATGTTCATGGGGCATCTTGTGAAAAATCTATATGAGAGATAATGTATATGTGTGAACGTGGGAGTCAACAATGCATGGTGAGCTTCAGACTTGAATAATTGAAGCGTGAAACAGCTATTTATGCATAGATTCTCTCTTTGTCTGAATAACAGCAGTTACATGAAGCAGCATGGCGTCTACAATAGGAAACTAATAGTTCTATGTATAAGTCATCTGTTTTACTAACCACCTTTACTAACAAGTCCATTTGACGACAGAAGGGGCGCAAATCACCCCACTAGAAATATATTTCACTTACTGTAAAAATAAAATGAATTAAACAAAATAAATTAGTAGTCAATGAACAGATTTAAAAATAATTTGAGCTTTCTCCTCAAAATTTGATATTTTTGAGGACAATTACATTATTTTTTTATATTTTCAAGTTATTAATATTATTAAAATAAGATGATATTATTATTATTATTATTATTTCTATGTCTCTGCGTTTATAGTTTCCTCTTTGTAACTATATTTTGTTAAGTAGTTTGGAACAGGTACATTTTTTTTGAGCGACGATATCACATGTGTAGTGGGAATAGAAGGCGTTACGTTTTTTTGTATTTATCTATTTTTTGTCTTTAGAAGATTCATATCGGAAAAGAAATCGAGTCTGGCTGCCCTATCTGGGTTGGATCTGCTCAATGATCACGTTCCAGCCTTGAGAGAGTTCGAAAGCGTTTACGTGGCCTTCTAGATGGTGAATTATTTCCCATCCTGCATCCCCTTTCCTCACAGACGAAATGTTACTATCCCCTCGCTACTCTATCGCTATTTCCATGGCAAAGGCTCAGACAAACTACATATCTCACCAGTTTAGACCTTCACAATTAGGACCCATCATAGCGCGTACACAGAGTCAACTCGTTTTCATTCCCTTCGTATTCCAGTATTAAGTAAGTTCCATTTGAATGGTTTTTTCACAAGAACACTTACTTTGTGTAACAGACTCCCGAGATTATGCTTTCCCCATCATTACAATCTCAATATTTTCAAGCCTAGTGTTAATCATTAACTATATTACAGCAGCCTGATGAAAATCTCTGTGGTAAAAGACTAGTCACATTAGCTCAGGACTTATCAACATTTATTAGAAGAGGTATCAGACCCAGACTCAACAGGTCAATTCAACTTTTTTCTTTCTTTTAAGACCCAACAAAGTGTCGCTGTTGAGGTCAAAACAACGGACACAGAGCCGCACCTGGGATCGTCATATCATTAATTGGACCTTCGAGGAATGGCAACGTGTTTTGTGGTCCGATAAGTCATAGTTACAATTGTTTTGAGTTTATGTTCATATTTCGGTGTTGATGCTGAACCCATGAGACCAAGGATGCTAGTTGTTCTTAAAGCACCGTCCATGTTGGTGGTGATTCCGTATCCATTGACCGCTTTCATGGCATCTGTCATGGTAATGCAGTTTGGCAATGCCCATCACCCCACGTAACATGTGACAGGTTGTACTGAGTTACATGCTATTAGCATCAAGGATAAATCACTGACCTATTGCCGAGCAGCCAATATGAACAGCTTTTACTAAGATGAGATAACTGTTAACTGCTTTGTTAACAGCCACAGATGAGAGCAAAAGTAGATCAATTACTCTTTCAATGAAAGGTGAAACTTTTGCACCCAGATTTTGAACGCAATTCCATTCCCTGTGAGATTAATCGTTAGGCCACCGACAGCTCCTCCCAAATATCGAAAAATTAATTTTTGTGCTAGATTATTTTAGCGTGATGATTTTGCCGTGCCTCTGAAAGATTGGACAAATTAATGAAGAATTTTGTTTTGGAAGCTTTCTTTTTTCTCAGGGTGACCAGCGGGGTTAATAACATTCTTATCAGGAAGGTCATGTCACCCGCTGAGCAAAGTTTTGTACTAAGACAGCTTCGCACTTAAGAATCTGGTATGATAAACATTTCCTTGTTCTCTCTTTCTGTATCTTGGAAGATTTCACTCGTCCCCATCAAAGGATGTTTGTTCAATTGAAATCAGATAAAAAGTAATGTTTAATGACTTTATCATATATAACTTATTAAAATCTTTTCAAGAAAAAAATAAAATTATTTGATCCATTGTAGGAAATACATTTATTATTATTAATATTATTATTATTATTATTATTATTATTATTTCCTTTGATTTCTGGTGTATACTCATTTCTTTCCATGACCCAGCTAGAGACCTAAGATCAGAAATGGCATCATGACATTTTCTACTGAGCATTTTTTGAAACAAACAAAAACTAGGATCACATACATTTTACATAGCTAAAGCCATTCGTAAGGTGTGAGTCGTAGTTGCGAGTGCATTTTTGTATTTCTTTACGGCTTCGGCTACCAGAGAGACCACTTCAATGAGAACCTTTTCCAATCAAACCAAGAGCTCAAACTATAACTGGAATTGTTGATTTCCGCATGTGTGACATTTTTGAGACATCTAATGTCTTTGTATTTTCCAAAGATACGTTACTTTCTGCAATAAGAAGGCATATTCTGTTTTTGCGGTTTCTGATCACAATGTCTGGGCAATTAGCTTTGATTGTTTGTCTGCCTGTTTCGTAAAATCCAAAAAGAAATGTTACAGTACCCGGGTCTGGGTGGTGTTCATACCAATTTCTTGCAGTTTCCTTTCCGTAAAAGTGGCAGATTTTCCAATGCAAGTATTGGTTCACTATGTCATCCCGGGTTTATTATTATTATTGTTGTTGTTGTTGTTTGTGCATGCGCGCGTGTATGTGTGTGTGCGTGTGCGAGTGAGAGAATAAGGTGTGTGTCAAAATATGGCAAATATACAAATCCCAATATACTTATCATGACACACAGACTAATACAGCTTTACTATTCACATCCATTCAACAATAAAAGAAACTCATTCGGATTACGAATATGTCAGTGCTTCGGTGATTCTCTTTTATAATGTTCATGTTATAACCGGTGCTTCCGGTTGGATGCGGTGATATCCTTTTAAGTGTCCCGTTTTTTATAATGAGACCTTCTGATCAACTCTACAGTTTCCGGGACATGATGTTCCTTACTACCCCTGCACATGAAAAGAGATGAACAGTGTGTCCTTCAAGACATGATCAACCGAGTAAAGACAATAAGCAAGTGACAAGTAATTTTGTCATCAATATATCTTTTCAGATCCTCTGAGCCTTTTTTCCTCGTTAGGTCTATCTTTTATTCCTGGCTCCTCTGTAAATATTGCTTGTTAGCCTGCAATTTAGTTGAGATCTTCACGTATTTTCTACTATGGGAGTGGTCGGTGTTCTCGCTCAGGCAAAACGCCAGGACATCAAATATTGACTGGGCACAATTTCTAATTTCAATCTGTTTCTCTCATTTTCTGACTAATAACCAAAAGATTGTTCTATCTATCTATCTATCTATCTATCTATCTATCTACGACAAAACAGACTTTTTTTTAGGAAAATAAACTTAGCACTTTATGTAAGCAGACAAATTTATATTTAATAATGCTGTTTTTAAGTGCTTATCGTCTCTGTGCCAAGTGACGCATTGTATATGTATTGACTATTTCAGTAAAACCAAATGTATCGATGTATCGATTGTCTTTTGGCCAGTTATTATAATAATGTACTCTCAGTCGTCTTCCTATGTACAAAAACTGTCCATTCATCCGATTGGAAATATTTTGATGACCGTCCAAAATGATATCGAAGCCTTAAAGTACAATAATCTTTTAAAAATTCTTTCTTTCTTTCTTTCTTTTTATTTATTTATTTATTTATAGCTTTCTTTCTTTTTTGTCAATGTCAAGTTTGAAACTATACTTACGTCAATAATATCTACATTTCAATTTTTTTCCAGTTTTTCTAATGATTTCTGTCTTTAAAGAACAGATATATACATTTTTTAACACATACGCACGCATACACATACAAATATATAACATACATCAAACAAGCAATTATTTGGCAATTTCTTTTTATAAAACTATTGCTTTTAATGAAAGGACAAATAAATATACACATTTTAAATTAAATAACAAAAATTGAAATAAATGAAAGTGTAGTATTATATGCAAAGGAGATGTATAAGCATAAATAGAGAACAACTGGTGAACAAGACAGCATTATTCAGCGAACCTATTTGTTGAACATAACGCGGAGAACTGTGCTACGACTACTACTACACAAAGAGATATACCAAAAATAACAATGGCGTCGCCGATAGGATCCTTAATTGCGCTGGAACACATAGAAACTTTTGTTGCATTTGCACGAGTGAAAAAATTAAGAGACACTAAGACTGAAGGAGGAGAGAAAGAGATAACGCTGGGTGCGAAACTGTGAAGAAATGTTACCCGAGCGAATTAGAAGAAATGACATTTGAGGAAATTGTTAAAGTTATAAAAAAGAACATAAGACCAAAGAAAAGATTGGTCATTGCTAAAAGAACCAAGTTTTTAGAAACAAGACAAGCACCTAATGAGTCTATTATATAGTACTTACACAGATTAAAAGAACGTGCCAAGTATTGTGAATTTGAAAAATTGGGAACTCGGGAAATGACTATAGATGACGAATTAATTCTTGTCAGAATAATTGAAGGTTTGCAAGACCAAGACCACAAACGAAAAATAATGGAAGAGTTTGGAAGCTAGCGTCGAGTTTTTACAACAGTTAGAGTTGATTAGAGAATTTAATCACCCAAAAGAATTCGAGGCGTATGGACTAAGTCCATAATTACATGTAGATACCGTGGAAAAAATCACGAGAGAGACAAGTACAAATGTCCCGCTTTAGGAAAAAGTATGCTGAAATTGAAAAAAAGAGAGATCATTTTCAGAACCTATGCAAATACGAAAAGAAAACAGAAATAGTACAAAAAGTACAAAACACCTCCTCCTCCGAAGAGGCTGGAATATTTACAATGAATACTCAAAAAAGAAAGAGAGAAAAAATAAGGATAAATGGCCAAATATTTAACATGTAAGTTGACACAGGCAGTGAAGTCACGTTGATACAAAAAAAAAATCTGGATCAAATTGGGACGACCTAAATTAAAAAAAAGCAACATCTAATTAAGCAATTTGATGGAACGTCTATAGAAATAATGGATACATTTCAATGCAATTTTGGAACTGATAAGTGTTTTGAAGTAATTCCCATTACAGTTGTAGAATGCGAAAAAATCACGGACTACCAGGAATTGATGTATTAAAAGTAAATACAGCAAGATTAATCAATTCCATGGAAGCACAAGAAAATAAAAATGGATTATTGAAAGTCTATAAAACAAGTGATCTATTCTCTATCCTTCTCTTCATCCTTTCCTCTATCACGCCTCTTTACGCTCGCTTCCAATCTCTGTAACCTCTCGCGTGCTAGTGGCATCCCGCCTTGCTTGGGGTGATATGCTTAAAAAAAAGTATTCGACTAAAAGAAAATTGTCACCCAAAATATATGGAGTCAAGTTGTATCATTTTGTTTAACTTGGTAGTGGCCAAGTTAAAAAGAAATGATACAAGGCATACTAGAAAGAGTAACTCAAGGTGGTAGCAATTGGGCATCACCAATAGTAGCGATAAATTGGTACCTCCACGAGATTGCTAAATAAAGAGCATAGCATGATGAAAAAGATGCCAAAATTGACGAAAACAAAACTTTATCGTCTAAATGTTTATGTTATTATAAAGAGGAAAGATCAAAGTATTTTGGGGTATTTTTTAAAAATTTTTATCGTTCCTACCACGTCCGAAATTTTCGTTTAAAACCTTGTTTTTTTTTTGAGTTGGCAGATAATCGATCATGGCGACCATTTTTTTCCATTTTATAAAAAAAAAATGAAAATCTCAGTTTGAAATTCTTTTAAAAATCAATTATCATTTTTTCAATACTTATTTTAAGAAAATCAGAAATTATAATGTTTATTTAAAATGTTTTGAACCAAGCTTAACTTAGCTTCTGCGCCGAAAAGATGTAATTTGAAAATAAAACAAAGCAGGCCATAAACTTTCGCGTCACTTTGACAGATGATGAATGACATATTGATGGATTACATGAGGATAATTCCTTCTACGGAAGGAGAGAAGTGAAGTTATTTACATTTAAGTGAACAAATTATTTACCTCGTTATTTTTAAGGAAAACTTTCAGCGCTCTAATTTTTTTAATTTTTTTTGTACTTAACTTTCACCTTTACGTTTACGATGGTTTATGGAAACTATATTATAAAGAAATTAAAATAAGACTGTTAAGAGTGAGATTAAATTTCATATTTCATAAGAAAGGTATCTAATTAATCTATAGGTACCTTTCTTATGAAATTTTATCAGAAGTATACATAAAATACTATAATTTTATGTACATTTATAACATTTTACTGTGTTATTTGTATTTCCATTCATTTTATTATTAATTTTGTTATTTCATTTATGGAAAAATGTCATAACTGAGATTAATATAAAAATAAGATCATATAAATTTCATAAGATGATACTGATACTTGTAGGTACCCTTCACAGTTGAAATTGAAAAATCAAATTAACAACTCCACACGTATTTCGCAAAAGTAAAGGCCTTAACAGCAGAAAAGAATGCTTAACTCAAATAACGCAACTTAATTGTATTCTGGTTGGTCTTCCTTACTTTATAGCCTGATTATAAACACAAAATTACATTTCTTAATTACTGCGGGTCTTTTGATGAGTCAAAACGATACAATTTACAACGCGCTAAAAGGATCTATCTTATAAGGACACTTATGAAAGCGGGTGCGGCTTTTAACTAATTTTATAATATTTTAACAACGTAAATGTAAAAATCTATTATAATTAAAGAAATAACAAATAATTGTATTAAAAATTAATTTTTTTCATCGGAAAAATTTTTTGCTTTCAGAAAACATTGTCCATATTCATAAAAACAACTAAAAGCAAATAAAAGCATTTGAAATTAAATAATATCTTTGTTTTATTGAGTTTTGTATGATACAATTCAGAGCTGATTTTTAGGTGGGGGTCTAATTAAAAACAAAAAAAAAAAAATTATTTGCATTCCTCAAAGCCTTGTGCATTTAACTATTGTAATCACTAAAGTGGACTCGATCGAATTTCTAGAGTTTTCATAAAATTAGTTATGGGGGTGGTAATAAATATAAAAACATATTTCTGCGATGACTTTAATAAAAAAACATGTTTATAATAATTTCGATCATCTGTGAATAGTTTCTGAAAGTTTCATTGATATCAGACAATTATTTTTTATTTCTGCAAGATTTTCCAAATTAATGTGTGTCATACAAAAAAACAAAACAAAAAAACAACGTGGTAAAAATTGTATATGTTATTTTACTAGTTACGGTGATACATAGAGAAACAAAGTTTTTTTAATCAAAATTTAGAATGTTCTAAAAGAAGGAATTTAAAAAAAAATAGTTAAAATAAACTTTGGTCTTTCCCTTTTATAACATAAACGTTTAGACGATAAAAGTTTCTTTTCATCAAGTTGGGCGTCTTTTTCATCATACTAGGCTTTTTTTTAGCGATCTCATGGAGGTACATAAGCGATAAAGAAACCTGACTTAAGAATATGTGGTGATTATAAGTTTGGGGTAAATCACTAGATATGTTCAGCTCTTTTCCTTTGCCAAATATCGAAACTGCGAACCACAAGTTGGCAAAAATGGAGCACTTTGCAAAAATGAATCTCAAGAAAGCATACAACCAAATAGAAATTGACGAGAAATTCAAGGAAGTCACCACGATAAACACCCCTATAGGCTTACTAAGATGGACTCGTCTACTGTTTGGGGTAACGATTTTGAGTCATATTTTTCAGAAAGCAACTGAAAGAGTCTTATAAGGAAAAATAAAAATATGATAATATACCAGGACGATATATGTATAGGGCAAGAATTAGAATATAAAAAAAGAAAATTTTAGAGTGATTCAAAAAGGCAGGCATGACTCTAAACAAAGACAAGTATAATTTTGACTGTAAGAAGATATCATATTTAGGATATCAAATATCAAAAGAAGGCATATCACCCGACGAGAGATTAACAAAGAAAATAACAGAAATAGCTCCTCTAACAAATAAAAAGGAATTAGAATCCTTTTGGGGGCTAATAATTTTTTATAGTAAATACATACCAAGATACAGTGACGTAATAGAGCCATTTGCAAAATTACGCAAGAAAAATAATGAATTTAACTTTGATACAAAAACAAACTGTCTCTTTTGGAACACTAAAGAAGATACTGAGGAACAAACCAATAATAAAAAGTTTTTGATCCACAAAAAGAAGTTACGCCAACCACAGACGCAAGTGAAAAGGCGATTGCTGCTATAATATCGCAAGAACACCCAATCATGTACATATCAAGAAGCAGAAACTAACTACTCGAATATTGAAAAAGAAGCACTAGCAATTGTATGGAGTATGGAAAGGGCATGAAACTTTTTGACAC